CATCAGTGCGTGAGCGGATACACACAGCGTGTGCACCTGCACTCGGGAGCGTCCCTCAGCCGTGAACAGGAGCAAGGCGCCCACCCACGCTGCCCCGGGGACAGACCCCGAGCCCACGACGCTCAGGGAGGGAACCGGACACAGAAGGCCACACGGGGTGTGAGTCCACGTGGGTGACACGCCCACAACAGGCTCATCCACAGACAGGAAACAGCTGAGTGGTTACCAGGGCTGGGGGAGGGGAGTGGGCAGGACTATTGGAAAGGTATGGGGTTTCCTTGTTTGGTGGTGGAAAAGTTCTGAAATCACACGGTGGTGATCAGTATACCACTGCAGAGATATACTAACGACCACAGAATTGTACACTCTAAAAGGGTGAATGTAGCGTGGGAATTCTACTTAATAAAGCTGCTATTAAAAAAAAAAAAGACTCCAAGCCAGAAAATGAACGCATCAGAGCTCCCCGAAGATTGATCACCACTGCGATGCTATTCTGAAGCTTCGACTGAATGCGTCCACAACACCGTGGCCACCCGCGTCATTCCCCCCGAGTTCCCTCCCTGGTGCCATCCTGACACAGCCGCGCAGGCCACCCTCTAGGCTCTCACCAAAGGGGTCGGTTAACTACCAGGCCACGACCCCCGCCCCCCCACTCTGCTGGCCTTCCCAGATCGGTCTCTAGGCTGAGTACCAGGCACGCCTTAAAGACCAAAGGCCTGCCTGCCTGCGAGTGGGCGTGACATGCTGACCCAGATTTGGAATCCTGTGACAGGATCAGAGCCACAAACCAGTCAGCTTAGATGGGGCAAGGGAGAAGAAGCCAAAACCACAGGCAGGGTGATGACAGAGAGTTGGGGCCTTCCCAAGCCCAAGCCTGAGATGGCAGAGCCTCATACATACTTCTGGGTGCAACAGCCCTAAGAGGGCTTTGACGCATTCATTTCAGCGAGTGTGCGGAGGAATGGGCGAAAGACGGGCACCACGCAGGCAGACCGACATGTGAGCGTCCTTGAAAATCGAGTGAACTTAATCCTGAGGAAGCTCAGTTCAAGTGGAATCAGCATAGACTTGCTTCCAATAATACTGGAAATCCTGATAAGATGCTTATGATAAGACCTAGAGCAGCGACTAGAAGATACTTCAAAAAATGCAGTGGAAAAATCATTAAAGGAATTAAAACATTACACTAGAAAATATGCACTTAATGCAAAAGGTGGCAGTAAAGGAGAGGAACCAAAGGCAGGAGATGGAAAACAAAAGGAAAATCACAGACGTAAATCCAACTATATCGATAATGACACTAAATGTGGATGGAGGGGCACCTGGGTGGCTCAGTCGGTTAAGCATCTGCCTTCGGCTCAGGTCATGATCCCAGAGTCCTGGGATCGAGCCCCACATCGGGCTCTCTGTTCAGCGGGGAGTCTGATTCTCTCTCTCCCACTCCCCCTGCATGTGCTTGCTCTGTCAAATAATTAAATAAAATCTTTTTAAAAATACAATAAAAAGAAGTTTTTTAAAAATGTGAATGGATTAAACAGTCCAACCAAAAGACAGAGATTGTCCTATGGTCAGGAACAAGATAAGGATGTCCACTCTCACCAATGTTATTATTCAACATACTACTGGAAGTCCCAGCCTCAGCAATCCAACAACAAAAAGAGATAAAAGGCATCTGAATCAGTAAGGAAGAAGTAGGACTTTCGCTTTTTGCAGATGACATAATACTCTATATAGAAAACCCAAGGGCACCTGGGTAGCTCAGTCGGTTAAGCATCTGCCTGAGGCTCAGGTCATGATCTCAGGGTCCTGCGATCAAGTGCTGTGTCAGGCTTCTTGCTCAGCAAGGAGTGTGCTTCTCCTCTCCCTCTCCTTCTGCCCCTCCCCCCACACATTTTCTCTCTCTCTCTCGAAATTTTTAAAAAATTAAAAAAAAAAAAAAGAGGGGTGCCTGGGTGGCTCAGTCATTAGGCGTCTGCCTTCGGCTCAGGTCGTGATCCCAGGGTCTGGGAATCGAGCCCCGCATCGGGCTCCCTGCTCTGCAGGAAGCCTGCTTCTCCCTCTCCCTCTCCCCCTGCTTGTGCTCCCTCTCTCGCTATGTCTCTCTCTGTCAAATAAATAAATAAAATCTTAAAAAAAAAAAAAGAAAACACAAAAGACTCCACCAAAAAATTGCTAGAACTGATACATGAATTCAGTAAAGCTGCAAGATACAAAAGCAACGTACAGAAATCTGTTGCATTTCTATATGCCAATAATGAAGCAGCACAGAGAGAAATTAAGGAATCAATCCCATTCACAACTGCATGCAAAATAATAAGATACCTAGGAATAAACCTAAACAAAGAGGTAAAATACTTGTACTCTGAAAACTACAGAACACTTATGAAAGAAATTGAAGATGACACAAATAGAAAGACATTCCATGCTCATGGATTGGAAGAACACACACTGTTAAAATGTCATTACTACCCAAAGCAATCTATACATTTAATGCAATCCCTATCAAAATACCACCAGCATTTTTCACAGAGCTGGAACAAAGAATCCTAAAATTTGTATGGAATCACAAAAGACCCCAAATAGCCAAAGGCATGTTGAAAAAGAAAACCAAAGCCGGTGGCACCACAATTCCAGACTTCAAGTTATATTACAAAGCTGTAATAATCAAAACAGTATGGTACTGGCACAAAAACAGACACATAGATCAACAGAACAGAATAGAAAACCCAGAAATGGACCCAAAACTATATGGTCAACTAATCTTCAACAAAGCAGGAAAGGCAGTCTCTTCAACAAATGGTGTTGGGAAAACTGGACAGCCACATGCAGAAGAATGAAACAACCACTTTCTCACACCATACACAAAAATAAACTCAAAATGGATGAAAGACCCCCAATGTGATGCATGAAACCATAAATATCCTGGAGAACACAGGCAGTAACCTCTTTGACCTTGGCTGTAGCAACTTCGTACTAGACATGTCTCCAAAGGCAAGGGAAGCAAAAGCAAAAATAAACTATTGGGACTTCATCAAAATAAAAAGCTTCGGGGCAACTGGGTGGCTCAGTGGGTTGAGCATCTGACTCTTGATTTCAGCTGAGGTCGTGATCTTGGGATCATGAGATTGAGTCCCGCATCAGGCTCCCCGCTCAGCAGGGAGTCTGCTTCTCTCCCGCTGCCCCTCCCCCACCCCACTCACAAGTGTATGCACCGCACACGTGTGCTCTCTCTCTAAAAATAAATAAATAAAATCTTTAAAAAAATAGTAATAAAAATAAATAAAATTAAAAGCTTCCACACAGCAGGGCGCCTGGGTGGCTCAGTTGGTTGAGCGACTGCCTTCGGCTCGGGTCATGATCCCAGGGTCCTAGGATCGAGTCCCGCATCGGGCTCCCGGCTCAGCGGGGAGCCTGCTTCTCCCTCTGACCCTATCCCCTCTCATGCTGTTTCTCTCTCTCTCAAATAAATAAAAAAAAAAAAAAAAAAAAATTAAAAAAAAAAAAAGGATTACGTTTTAAAAAAAAAAAAAAAAAGCTTCCACACAGCAAAGGAAACAACAAAACTAAAAGACAACCTAGGGAATGGGAGAAGATATTCACAAACGATATATCCAATAAAGGGTTAGTAGCCAAAATATATAAAGAACATATTAAACTCAACACCCAAAAAATGAATAATCAAATTAAAAAATAGGCAGAAGCCATGCTCAGACATTTTTCCAAAGATGACATACAGATGGCCAACACACACATGAAAAGATGCATACCACCACTTATCAGGGAAATGCAAATCAAAACTATGATATCACCTCACACTTGTCAGAATAGTTCAAATCGCTGTGTCTCTCTCTGTCAAATAAATAAAATCTTAAAAAAAAAAAAAAGAAACAACAGATGTTGGCGAGGATGCAGAGAAAGGGAAACCCTCTTATACTGTTGGTGGGAGTGCAAGCTGGTGCAGCCACTCTGGGAAACAGTATGGAGGTGCCTCAAAAAGTTAAAAATAGAAATAGGTATTTACCCAAAGGATACAACATACTAATTCAAAGGGATACATGCACCCTGATGTTTATAGCAGCACTATCAATAATAGCCAAACTATGGAAACAGCCCAAGTGTGTGTCCACTGATGAATGGATAAAGAAGATGTGATACTGGAGTGCCTGCGTGGCTCAGTCGTTAAGCATCTGCCTCCGGCTCAGGTCATGTTCCCAGGGTCCTGAGATCGAGCCCTGCTCAGCGAGAAGCCTGCTTCTCCCTCTCCCACTCCCCCTGCTTGTGTTTCCTCTCTCTGTCTCTCTCTGTCAAATAAATAAAAATCTTTAAAAAAAATGTTATATATATATATAGATAGATATACATATCTATCTATCTATCTATATATATAATAGAGTATTATTCAGCCACAAAACAAAGAATGAAATCCTGCCATTTGCAACGACGTGGATGGAGCCAGAGTGTATTATGCTAAGTGAAATAAGTCAGTCAAAGACAAATACCATATGATTTCACTTGTATGTGGAGTTTAAGAAACAAAAAAAGTGAGCAAAGGGGAAAAAGAGAGCGGTAAACCAAGAAACAGACTCTTAACTACAGAGAACACACTGATGGTCACCAGAGGGGAGGTTGGGGGGGTGGATGGGGAAAATAGGTGATGGAGATTAAAGAGTGTACTTTGTTGTGATGAACACTGGGTGATGTATGGAAGTGTCGAATCACTAAATTCTAAACCTGAAACTAATATTACACGGTATGTTAACTAACTGGAATTCAAATAAAAACTTTAAAAAAAGACAGAGATTGTCAAACTGGGAAAAACAAAAACAAACGAGACCCAACTATATGCTGTCTATAGGAGACACTCTTTAGATTCAAAGATATAAGCAGGCTGCAAATAAAAGGATGGAAGAAGGTATAGCAAGCAAATACCAACTATAAGAAAACTGGAGTGATTATACTAATCACACAAAATCGCTTTAAAACAAAAATGTTAGGGGCACCTGGGTGGCTCAGTTGTTGGGCGTCTGCCTTCGGCTCAGGTCACAGCGGCCTACAGGAAAAGAAGAAAGCTCGCAAATTAATAATCAAAACTTGTACCTGGGCGCCTGGGTGGCTCAGTCAGTTAAGCGACTGCCTTCGGCTCAGGTCATGATCCCAGGGTCCTGGGATCGAGTCCCGCATCGGGCTCCCTGCTCAGCGGGGAGTCTGCTTCTCCCTCTGACCCTCCCCCCTCTCATGTGCTTGCTCTCTCTCTCTCTCTCATATAAATAAATAAAATCTTTAAAAAAAAAAAAAAAAAAACTTGTACCTTACACCGGAAGAAGAGCAAACTAAACCTAAAGCAATCGATAAGAAGGAAATAATAAAGATCAGAGCAGAAATGAACAGAATAAGAGAAAACCAACAAAAGCAGGAGTCGGTTCCATGAAAAGATCAACCAAATTAATAAACTTTTAGGTAGAGTAACCAAGAAAGAAAAGATTCAGCTTGCTAAAATCAGGAATGAAAGATGAGACCCTATCACTACCACCCACCTTATAGAAATACAAAGGATTATAAAATAATATTGGCGTGGAAAGCTACTGAGCAGTAAAAAGCAATGAACTACTGATACAGGAAACAACTTGGATCCCCAAAGGCAACACATGATGTATGATTCCATAAACGTTCTGGTAATGACTAGATTATAGAGAAGAAGAGATCAATGGTTGCGGGGACCTGGGGGTGGGAGTGGGGAGTAACTCCTAAGGGAAAGCACAAGCAAGCTCATTCGTGTTGATGGGACAGCCCTGTATCTTGAGTGTGAAGGGGGTTACACAAATCCATGCAGCTGATGTCACTAAAACATACAAAAAAGTGAGCGCAGGATAAAACTGGTAGAATCCCAGTAAGGCCCAGCGTATAATACGCCAATGTCAATTTCCTAGTCTTGACAATGCACTGTGGTTATAGTAAATTATCACCACTGGGGGAAGATGCGTGAAGAGTACACGGGACCTCTTTGAACCATTTTTTAAAAGATTTTATTTCTTTATTTGAGAGAGAGAAAGAGAGAGCACAAGCCGGGGGAGGGAAGGGGCAGAGAGAGAGGGAGAAGCAGACCCCCTGCTGAGTGCAGAGCCCAACATGGGGCTCAATCCTACGACCCTGAGATCATGGCCTGAGCCAAAGGCAGACACTTAACCGACTGCTTAACCGACTGAGCCACCCAGAAGCCCCTCTTTGTACCATTTTTGCAACTTCTTGGGAGTCTGTTAACTCTTGAAAAATAAAAAGTTTTTAAAATTATTTAAAATATTTCACATGGATGACAGGATGGAAGGGCAGACTGTCATATGGGTTGATGGTTTGGGGCTGGGTGATGGGGACAAGCAGGTTCTTTATCCTATTCCATCTACCTCAGTATGTGTTCCAAGTCTCCATAATAAAAAGCTTAAAATATAAATGCATGGCCCCAAAAAGGGCCTTCTCCATCCAGACTTAACACCCTTCAAACTGTACCATCATCAAGACTGCAGCCCCTTTTGCCAGATATGATCCCAGAAACAATGGCCAGAGAGACCACCAGAGCTGCCTGGGGGTTTCACAACACAGACCCTAAAGAGATGCAGGATGGTCTGAATGCCACCTTGAATAATGTATTCCAAGTGGCACGTGAGATCTGCCTAATGCACATGATCTCTAAAATGAGCTCTGCCCAATGCCAGGCTCTCACTTCCCATACAGCATTTCTCCTCCAGCCAAGGCAACAAGTCCTGCCAGGACCCACCCCACCCCCAGGCCCTCATTCCAGAGCAGAAACCTGAACTGCTTGTGGGCAGGGGATTTTTGCAAAACTTTCGGAGTCTTGCCTTCTGCAGGTTTCTCCTTTTCAGAGCCCCCATTTCGAGGTGAAAATGATCTGCTCTCACACCAAGGTCTCAACTCTTTCTAAACAAGAATATTTAGGGCGCTTGGGTGGTTCAGTTGGTTGAGGGTCTGCCTCCGGCTCAGATCATGATCCTGGGGTCCTGGGATCGAGCCCCTCATCAGGCTCCTTGCTCAGCGGGGAGTCTGCTTCTCCCTCTCCCTCTGCCCATGCTCTCTCACTCACTCTCTCAAATAAAGAAATAAAATCTTAACAAAAAAATTTTTAAGGGAGAAAAATAAAGGAAAGAAAGACTGGTTGACACAACCAACAGGATGAGCTCATATGGCCCAAACTTGCCCCGTCATCCTGGGAGAAGCAAAAACCAGCACACACACCCCGCCCCCCGCCACCCCGAGTAGCTTCCACTCTGGGCCCAGCAACCAAATAGAGACAAGCCCACTCATGGAGCACTGTGCCAACTGTCCCCACATGCAAACTCCTCCAATGACAACAATCCTCTCAGGTAGGCACCCTTATGTTACCTATCACCAATAAGGAAGATGAGGCCCAGAGAGGTCAAGCAACTTGCCCAAGGTTACAAGGCTGGGAGGAAGGGTGGAGCCGCGGTTTGAAACCAGCTGTTCCAACCTGGGAGTCGGCACTGATTCCTCTTTCCCACACATCCAATCCACTCGTGAGGCCTCACTGGTCCACTGCCTCCAAAATCCCCCCCAAGTCCAGTCCTCCTTGCCCCCAGACCAGACCACACTGTCATCACTCACCTGGATGACCGCTGGAGTTCCCCCCCTGCTTTTACTCCTGACAGCCACCAGAGGGGTCTCTGAAAACACATAAATCTCTGCCTTCATCATTACCTCCCCAGGCTTCTCCCTGCCCTTAATGGGGTCTGGCTTACGGCAGTTTAAGTGGCCGAGCCACCTGGCCTGGCCTCTCTGAACCTCAGGGCCTACGTCTCTCCTGCAAGCTCATCATGTTCCAGCTACATGGGATCCCTTCCAATCCTCAAACATGCCAAGCTCATTTCCGCCTCAGGACCTTTGCACATACTATTTGTTCTTCCACTTGGAACTTCTTGTTCCAGATCTCCTCAAGGTTGGCACCTCCTAGTCATTCAGATCTCTGCCCAAACGTCACCTCCTTGGAGTGGATTCCTGTCCACCCAGTTAGGGCAGCATCACCCCCTGTACCTCCCAGTCAAATCACTCCCTCGCTTGAACACCCAGGAGCCATCTCTTCCTTGCTGGCTACTTAGCACCCAGCCTGGCACAGTGAGTATGGAGATGTCTGGCAGGCCACCAGGGCTGTGGTGTGCCTTTGTTGTCTTCTACAAAGTTGGGGCTGGAGGAGTCAGCTCATCCTAAGCACTGAGGCTCCTACAGGGTGGCCAGGGATGAGAGCCCCCCTGCCGAGTGCGTCTTAATGTACCTCACCCCGTTTACCTCTAGCAAGGAGAGCACGTGAGGATGCCAAGGCCCAGACAAGGGGCACCATGTGCCCCAGGTTAGTGGCAGAACAGGTTTGGGAGCTGGGGTCCCATTCTCGGTGCTGGCTCTAGACCCAGGCCAAGTCTGGAGGATGAGATGCTGGTCTCCCCCAAAATCCCCTGGGGAGGTCTTCCTGAGTGCCTGGACTGGTAGGGTTTGCTGTACACAGTGGGGACAGCTATGGGACCCCCGCCCAGGCTCCTCTCTAGGTCCCACAGCTACCACTGCTCCAGGCTAGCCTCACGCGGGGGGGCCAGCAAGGGGGCATGCACCTCAGGGAGCAAGGCCGGCATTTAGGGGACCGATCAGAGCTGGGGAGGCTCTCTTTTATGCTATGGGACTGTTCAACAGCCAGGGTGGAAATCCCAAATGCAGACACACAGAGGCAAAGAGTGGAGGGTTCTGGCGGTTTCCGGAGGACCCCCACCAGGCCTTCCTCCACGGGCCCAGTCCAAGTCCCCAGGAACAGCTCTGGCCTGGGGGCTGGACGCTCTCTCTGGCCAAGGGGAGTGTGGGGCTCTCTCAGGCCCGGTTTACCCGAGCAGCAGGGGCATCTCAGGCAGCCCTGCCCTCTGGAGAGCCCGCTCCGACCTCACCCCTCCTCAGTGCTGGGGGTCAGGCCCGTGCCCAAGCCCTCCACCCATCCTGACCACGCTGAGCTCCGGGCACCCAGCCTATGTGACAGGACCCCTACAAGGCCATGCAGCCAGTCCCCACCAGGGACCCCAGCCTCCCCAACTACCTGCCTCAGCCCTCAGGGTAAGCAGGAAGTCCTATCAGCCCCAAACTGATGGCTGGACCCCAGGAGCACAGAGGGACCCTCACAAAGTCCACCAGGCTGCACACACACACCTCAGATACTCACAGGGACTACAGAACGCCTTGCCTGTTTTGGTTTTGTCTCAAAGGCACTGCTGAGTTTGCTATCGTGAAGATGAGTTACGTTTGTAATAAAGACCCTTCTAGCAGGCTTGTTGGGAAAACGGCCATGTGACTCGGCTGACCCCAACGTTCCCAGGCCTTCTTTCGGTTAAAGACTAAGTTATTTAATACAGGGCGACCTGGGGCCTCACGGTGCAGGGGCTGGAACCCAGTGTCACAGGGGCCGCACCAAGGACACCTGTGCCTGAGCTGTGGCAGCCAAGGGGCACCAAGCCTCACCAAGAGCTGTTCACGTCCAGGGCTGCTCTGCAAAACCCACAGGCTCACCCCCAGCCCTCACGCGGGCCCGAGCAGCGCCACTCGGCCCAGGAGGCCGGTTTTCCAGGCTGGCGGCCCCAAGTTCACTGGAGGAGAAAATCCAATGAGGCATGTGGAACAGGCCACAGGACTCCGAGTTCTGGCCTGGCTGCCTCCGGTCCAGCGTCCCTGAGGAACAGCGCCCTTGCTTCCCGGTCCATAAATCCCCAGCCAAACCCTCCTACCTGCCCCATGAAAATAAAGAAGCTCCAGAGGAAGAAAAAACAAACATTTTCAAGGTGCCTTCTAATAACCTTGACTGTTCCTTAACTCCCTTCCCAGCATAAATACGGAACAGCGGTGTGAAAACCATGGGCGACTCTGGAATGGAAAGTGGTTTTAGAAACTTCGGTTGCAATACCTTGATTCCCGGGCAACAAAAGACAAGTGCAGAGAAAAGCTGTTACTGTGATCGACCGAAGGCTCTCGAGGCCGGGCCCGTTGTTCTCTGTAGGG